TCTCTCTCTCTCTCTCTGTCGCTCGACCTCTTTTTTATTTTTCTGTTTTTTTTTCTATTTCTTTCTGTCTTGGTCTTTTTTTTATTTTTAGATTTCTTCTTTATTCCTAGAGCTTTTTCATATACTACATATGGATAATAGTAATAATAGTAAAAAAATAGCCATGCATGAAAAGGAACGAAAAACTAGAAAACGGAACTGTTCCCCTATTGTGGTATCTCCCACAGGACCAGCCGCGGCCCTTCTGGTGTGTACAACCCAAAGACTTCAACGAAAGTATGGACTTTCCTTTTTCTTTCTTCAACGCGGTTCGGAAAAAAAGATCAAATGTACTCCACTTCAACAAGTTCTGAGCACAAGTGATATGGATGCGATTCTTCAGCGTAGTGATGGAGCGACATCTATTCATCTTCCAATGTTTGTTCGCGCCGCAGAAGAGTGGAGTCAACGATGGAATCAATCCTCTGCAGAACAGCAAACGTCTCCTATTCTTCCATATCTTCCAAATGTAATTCTCAGTTTATTCTCAGATATGGGTTTAGCCAATGTCTCGGAACCGTTTTCTCTCATTGGTGCTCTCACACCTTCTCCACCAGCGTTTGGAATCTCTGAATCCACTACTATACAGAATAGATCATCATCATTATTATCATCGTTATCATCATTATCATCATTATCATCATTACAGACACCCCAACCTCTTACCTCTATCTGCATTAATGCTATTCATGAGATTGTAGAGTGTACAGAGGATATCTCACATCAGGCAAAGATGAGATGTGTACGTCGTCGTCGTCTCTCTGAAAGCAAATATTATACAGACGAAAGAAATGAAGGAAGTCGTGAATCTTCTACAGAAAGAAAAGTAACTGTATCCTCAGTTCCACAAGTACGATTATTTCTACTCTCACCTTACGCCCGTTATGATTTACTCCGTAAGTCTGTAAAACAAGGTACTTCTAAATCAGATATCCCCTCTTTTTACGGTGGTGAGGCATGTGAAATACTTCTTGTGTATGTGTGTTCAAAAGCAGCAGCTCGTGTGATTGGTGTAGGGCAGGTGAATGAAACTCCTGAGGTTTGGGGTCGTATTCCACACCCACAACAACAACAACAACAACAACAACAACAACAACAACAACAAGGGAATATAGAAAGCGGAGCTGCTGTATCCTCCATCAACTCCACATCATCATCATTATCATCATCATCATCATCATCATACGTATCACAACCGATAACAGGACCAACACTACCACCAAAAGCAGCAGCAGCAGCAGCAGCAGCAACTTCCATATCATCTCCATCACCCCAATTGCATACGACTATTCATGAAGATATGTTTTTCATTGCCGCCAGTGTAGAGGATTATTTACGCCTTGGCAGTGCCTTTGCGTGGGTGTATGGGTGGCAACTCTGTTATGCACCCCAAGGACCGCCACCGCGTTCTCTGCAGTGGCTGAAACTATTTGCCCCAAGCGCTCTTGCGGCGGTGGTCTCAGAAACACTGTAGAGATCTCTACGTTAGATGGATGGGTGTTCCCACTGAAATGTCTCACACCTGTTTGGATATCTGGGAGAAAGAGAAAGAGAAAGAGAGAGAAAGAGAACGTAAATGTAAAGGAGGGCGGTGGTGGCCAACGCTTGTAATATGGCCTCTGATTAATGATTATTTGTTTGTTTGTTTGTTTGTTTGTTTGAGGGAATGTTTCCCTTATCTTGTATACTCCCTTTCTTCTCTCCGGAACACACATACACATAGACATTCACTCATGTTGTGGAAGAAAAGACGAAGATTCTGCATCTTGTCTCTTCTAATGTGGATAAGAGTCACACGCACACATACCAATAGAAAACAAAACGAAAAAAAAAACAGTAATGGTCAAACGTTAATGGAAGAGATTTTTTTATTACTTTCATTATTGTTTTATTCTCTAATCTATAAAAATAATCTTTTTGTAAAGGTTAAATGGTTGCATTTTGCCTCACTCTACGTGTACACTTTCTAATCCTCTATCACTCTCTATCTCTATAAATACCTTTTTTTTTTCTTATCTGTGGCTGTTTAGTAAGGGCTAAGAAAACTTCCTTCTCTGGCATTCTGGCACTCTAGCACTTTGAAAAAGATGGTCGATTCGAGTCTCATCAGTAGAACAGCATTAAGGCCAGACATCTATGCGATGTCGTTTGAGCGAGCAAAGGAGTATGGATTCGTCTCATACTACAACCACACTGGAGACCACGCAAGGGACCTGCTTTCGAACAATCTCACCTTCACAAGGGAAGAACTCTGGTGGCTCTTGACAAACCCCTTTTCGCTGCAAAAACACCTGAACGGCTGGGGAGGGCTTGGATGGGATGTTACTATACTTCCACAATTGCTTCCGTGTCTACTGTGGGCTGTTGCCTTTGTTTTTCTACGCATCTTCTGTCAAGAACAACTTTCTGGGCTTGGCCTATACTTACAGGTGGTGGTGCCAAAACGCCATTATAGGAAATTAAGCGATGGCACCTCAGAAACATATCTAAATAAGGGTCAGCGCATCAAACTAAAGAAGTTCCAAACCCAGGTATGGCTCGCCTTGTTCTATATTCTTTCTACTGCTTTTGGCTATTATGTGCAATGGGACAAACCCTGGTTTGGCTTCCCTGTTAATGAGGCAAATCGTATCAGTCTTCTTACCCCACATCCATACAACCCGGAGCCTAAGTTATTACATTACTATTGCTATGGCCTTGGATTTTACCTCTCAGAGATCGTCTCGATGTTTATGGAGCATGATATGAAACGTTCAGACTTCTTTGAATATTTGCTTCATCATATCGTCACCATCGCCTTGATAGTGATTTCACACTGCAGTTATGAACATCGCTTTGGTGCCTATGTGCTTTTCATCCACGATGCCAGTGATATTATGCTTGCCCTAAGTAAGTCTATCAACTATGTTGTAAACGCAGCCATATTACGACAACAGAAGGCAGCAACCCTTAAACCAAACGGCATTATTATTACAGAACCCCCACGATCTTTTCTCTACAAAATTGTCTTTAATGAGAACGTAATGATACTATGTTTTATTGCTTTTATTGTTTGTTTTTTCTTTTTTCGACTGGTATGTTTACCATTTCTGGCATTGGCAACACTTTTCCTTCAAGTAAAGATCCGCATTCTTACTGTAAGCAGTTGGTTTTTGGCGCTTCTTCTACAGGTGATACTTCAAGGGCTACATGTATATTGGTTTGCTCTGATCGTGAAGTTGGCTGTAGGAGTAGTTACTGGAGGCCCACGCTGCGATATCCGCTCTGACGATGATGAAACAGATGACGAGAAGTCTGGTATCAGTGACGGTGAAAAACTTAATGATGAAAAATAGATGTTTTCCTTCATAATATTTATTTTCTTCCTATTGTCTGACGTGATGTTACTGTTGTTTCTCTTCTGTTTTTTTTTGTTTTGTTTTGTTTTTTGTTATCTTTTTTTTTCTGTGCGTGTTCGTTTTAACTTTCAGAGTAGTGGTATAAGCACTATCCGCTGCATATTTCAATCTGTTTGTTTTTTTCCTCTCTCATTGTGGGTACCAGGTCCTTTTTTTTTTTACCTTGAAACTTTCTGTATGATCGTATGTACGTATTCTTCATCTCCAACACTGTATATATATATGCATGTATGTGTGGTTATGTGTCAAAATCCCCTTCTTCTTACATCCCACACTCGCAGAATATTTATCAGTCTATATAAGACTGTATGTAGGATGTTTATCTGACATGTCTGCATGTCATTCAATCTTCTCTATTTTGTTTGCTTTTTTTTTTTGTTATGGAGGTGGCAGTTTATATGGTTTCTTATATTCCAGTTCGATTATTTTGTTCTTCTGCATATTATCTCCTACCCACAGGAGAGAGGAAAAACACAACAAACAGCTGCGATCGTTTATTTATTTATTTTTTTTACTTTCTCGGGTAATCACTCTTTAGGGATTTTTTTTTCCTCTTCTTCCCACCCCAAACCTTTAGATAACTATCTTTACACACCCACGTCTTCATTTTTTTTATTGGTATAACTCCAGTAAGGAAACCTCTCATTTGCACCTTCAATTTTGTTTTTGATGTGTGTGTGTGTGTGTTTTCTTTACTATGGTGACGTTTCACAATATTACGGAATTTCAATTTTCTATATCACTATAACAATATTTACAGTATTTGGCCCTAGTTAATAACTGTACAACATATGTGGTATTAATAATGAATACCGACCCTATCTTATGTGTGATGCATAAATAAAGAGAAGAATAATATACCCCGATGAAAGAATAAAAAAAAAAAAAATCCCCATTTAAAGCAATATGAGAAAAACTCTAAAACACATGAAAATGCTTTCAATACCAAAACACTATTCCCCGGATTGTAATGAAAAAGGCCAAATATGCATTTTGGGGGGAATAGGGAGAAATATTCCTCAATGAACATTAGCAACACACTCACCCCTCACCCACGTTAAACCATCAAACATGTGGATTGTGATTCACAAATCACCCACACACTGTATGCTAAAGCAAACATCTCTCTCCATCATTTTCTCTCTCTTTAGAGATCGACACACAAACAGCCAAACACACATACATACATACATATATAAACAAAGAGTCTACTCTTATGGTTCAGTACAGCACACCAAAGAGAGTCATCGCCACAACTCTATTTTTCATCCTTCTTACATTACAGGCATTCATTGGACACCGCTACTATGACGCCGATACAGCCGTCACGTCTAGTGGGTATCCCTCTGATACATCGTTGAACCTCACTGCCGCCGTAAAGCCGCATAGTCCAGATGCCACAGCTGACAATGAGTATCTGCGCTACATCCCACACAGCACCATAGAGATGTGGAGGGAGCGTGACTACCTCATTGTGTTTGGCATCCCATCTGTGGATATATCTACGAGACGGAGACGCCGTGATCTGCAGCGGACCACGTGCTGGCAGTTCCCCGGTGTTGCACGGAGGGCGAATAACTTCACTGGTGCCATGTTGGTGCTGTATGTACTTGCACGGCACCCATCACACGGCTACAAGCATTCTGCTGCATTAGTGGATGAGGCTGATGAGTATCACGATATCATTACACTGCCGATGAATGATGCTCTGCCAACAACGAAGAAAACAATTGGTGGTGGTGGATTTTGGGGTACCGAGGCTGAGATTAGCATGAGCCGAAAAACGTACTTTTGGCTTGAGTTGGCACTGCGAGTATTCCCGAATGTGAACTACATTGCGAAGGGAGACGATGACATGTTCCTGCGAGTACCACAGTTCCTGGCTGATTTACACACACTACCCAGGCGAAGGGTGTATTGGGGAATGCCTCTGGGTTGGAGTGTGCGGAAACGCAGAATTAACTACCGTTTTCGATATGCTGCTGGAATGTGCTATACCCTCTCAAGGGATGTGGTACAGCAGTTTGTTTCTTACAAACCACTCCAACGTCTCGTAGAGATGCCGTACAGTAAAATGCGTGAACCGAAGTTTCTCTCACTTAATATGCAAGATGAGGATAAAGTGGTTGGTCAGGTGCTGCGTGTTGAGCAACGTCACCATCACTCTATTTTCGTCGGTGCTGCACCGTGCAGCTTTCACGATATTCTTAACGACACTGGGCACTATTCTGTCACATGGAGGTCTGTTGTTATTCACCACTTGCGCGAGGATGACTATGGGAAGCTGATGGAGCGGTTTGGCAACGACACGACACATAGCTCTAGACTGGAAATGGTGCGTGGTCGTGGATATATTCAGTTTGTTTGTTAGCACTACCACGGATATGGTACACATAATCTCTGTGCAAATGTTTTTGATTTTCCCTTTTTTCTTTTATTTGCTTTTGATTCTCTGGGCTGGATACATTTTTGAACTATTAAGTACACCCCTCTTATCTCTTGATTTCATTATTGCTTCCGGGACTATGCTTCCCTAATTTACTTCAAATGAATATCTTGATTTGCTCCTAGTTGACTACTGTTGAGGTTTTTAACTCCTTTCGCTCTTTGTCACCCTCTCTTTACATCCGTCTCCATGACATTCTCAATACTCTGCTTTAATTTGTAAACATACAGATAGAGCTATAATGGCAACCCGTGGCCCACGAAAGGTAGTCATCGTCACAGGCCTTTGTTTGGTGATTCTTGTGTTGCAGGCATTCATTGGACACCGCTACTATGACGCCGATACAGCAGTCACGTCTAGTGGGTATCCCT